TTTGATCGAGGCCTCCCTTTGAGCAGTCTCTCTGTGCATGTGTGTCTCTCTGTGTCTCTGCGCCTCCCTCCCCCCCCATCTCTCCCTCCCCCTGTGTTTTGATCTCTCTGCTTGTCTCTGCCCCAGGCGTGAACCACTCACTGGCTGCAGTGGCCGCGGCCGCCCCCACGCCCGGTCTCCGGGGCCCAGCTCCTGAAATCCTCCAGCTGACATTTGGCCAAAGCCCCTTTTCCCTCAGTGTAGCTGGAACAAGACTGGAATTTTTCAACCAAACATTCTTAAGAAACGAAGGGGAGTTTGGGGGGACAGACAACAAAAGCAGACACACAAAAACAGGTCCAGAAACGGTCCGTGCTTGACACAGTTCCCTAATGGCCACGGGAGCACCCCCCCCCGGTCCCTGTGGTCACTGCAGCTGGGCACCCTGGGGGCCCAAGAGGGAAGTGGTCTGCTCAGGGACACCCAGCAGAGTGGGTGGGTGAGAAAGACCAGCTGTGCTTCCAGGCCCCCAGTTTCCCAGGCTGAAGAACCTCTGGCCCCATCTTAGACCCATTGTTCTGGCCAAAAATCTAGGCCAAAGCCACTAGGGAGAAGTGTTCTTGCTCCCTTGGAAATCTGAAGATTGCAGCCCAGGCAGGTCACCCAGGACCCAGCCGGCCCCCCTCGGCCTGGTCCCCGGCCAGCCTGAGCCCGAGGTGGATGGATGGGCGGGCGGCAGACACGACGGGGTGCAGGGCCCAGCAGGGAGGATGGCAGCTGCCCTAATTACTCCAGCTCTCCAGGTTCCAATCTCGTTTGAAAAGGACTCCAGGGACGCAGCCTTTAATAACTACCAGTAAACAGGCAGGAAAATCGATACCTGGTAAATAGAGCCCTGGAGAGAGGGACGCCTGGGCTGGCTGGCCCTGACCTGCTGGGAGGGGCTCCCGGAGTCCTTTGTCGTGGGGCTGGCCAACACTGGCCTTTCCAGTCCTGTCCTCGCTTCCCCTTTCCACTCCCTCCGAGCCCTGACCTGTGCCAAGTAGGCTGCCTGTTTCCGTTGCAGACACCTCCTTTGCACAAGGATCTGTGCCTGGCGCTGGGAACGCAGGTGTGGGTCCGACCTGGTTCTTGTCCTCCTGAAAGTCATCCACCAGCAAAGGAGATTAAGAACAACAACGAATGATTTAATGACAGTGCAAGGACACTTGGGCAATATAAAGCTGCATGTGCCAGCCATAGCAGCAGAAACAGAAAAGCAAGTCCAGGAAGAGGGGGACACAGGGAGGGTTTTGTTGGATGAATAGGAGTTCACCAAGTGAATGAGAGCTGGGACATGGGGAATGCGGGTAATGTATGTAGTAATAACAGCTGTCTTAGTTAACATTCATTGAGCACCTACTGTGGCCAAGCACTCTGCTGAGCACCTATGACCAGCATTATCTTGTTTTGTCCTACAGTAATTCTTTGGGGGTATGTATTCCTACCCCCGTTTTACAGATGAAGACACTGAGGCTATGTGTGGAGCCAGGATTTGACATGGCCCATGAGATTTCTGAGTTGTTTCTCTCAACCACTTTATTCTGCACCTCCCATCTCTGACCCCACCCTGCCCAGCTCAAGACCTGACACCCAGAGGTTAACGAAAGCAAGTTCCCATCCTTTCCCTTACCATCCAGGGGTTATACCTTCCAGGTAACACAGCACCTTAACCCTCACTAGGAGGCTCAGGGCGGGACTTCAGGCACATCAGACCTGAAGATCATCTCTCACGAGCCCTCATTTTGCAGACGGGCAAACAGACTCTGGGAGGAGAAGACCAGCACTCAGGAGCAGAGCAGAAACGGGATCCAGAAATGTTTCCTCTAACCCCCTCTCAGGCCTGCCCTGGAGGAAGAGCATTGTCAAGGAAAAAATCTATATGCACACACTCAATTAAAATGATAAATCAGGCATCAAAATGAGGCAGCCCAGGAGACGGGGGAGGATCATGTGTTCACATGATTGGCTTGAACAATACAGGAGTCCAGGGACTCCATCCTCACAGGTCTCTCTCACATCCATGGCTGCAGCTGTCTGCCTCGATTTTCCCAGCTCTCGGGGTCTGGGCAGTTGACAGAGGCAGGGGTAGTCCATAACCGTTGGGATTCTGACAGAGGAGAGAGAGAGCAGAGGACAAGCTGTTCCAGCCCTGGGTAGGGACCCAAGTGAAGGTCAGGGAGAGTCTGTGCTCAGGAGAGAGAAGCCTGAGCAAGGCAGAGGGAGGCAGGGGTCTTCAAGAAGGTCCGTGGTGGGTCCCCACCCATATGGCTGCAGATCCCTGGGCCAGGCACCTTGGGGTTATGCCAGTTAACAGCCGAAATGCACTCCACGTTGTGAGGGTCTGCTGTCTGCCAGGCTCTGTGCTTGGCACTAGGGTATAGCAGTGAGCAAAGCAGTCAAGGTCCCTGACTTCTTGGGCTGACAGCCAGGTGGGAAGAGACAGAGAATAAAGAAAGTATGCAGATGAATATATCGTATCAGGTAGTGCTGAGTGCCAAAAGAAAAAGAACACCCGGCAAGAAGATGGCAACCGGGACAGCTGTGCTAGAAGGTGGTCTGGGAAAGTCTTTCTAAACAGGTGACATTGGAGCAGAGACCCAAAAGGAAGGAGGAAGGAAACTAGGAGAACATCTGGGGCCTCCCAAGTAATATTCCAGGTGGAGGGAACAGCAGATGCAAAGCCCTGAGCCTAGACAGTGCTTGGGGTGTTGGAGGAACGGCAAGGAGGCCAGGGTAGCTGGAGTGGAGTGAGTGAGAGGGAGGTGGGAGGTAATAAGTCAGAGAGGAAGACGGGACTTTGTAGACTCATGGGAGGAGTTTGGTAGACAATGGGGGCTTTGGAGGTCATAGCGAGGACTTTGGCTTTTATTCCCAGTAAGAGGGGAGGCCATGGGAGGATTTTGAGCAGAAGAAAGATGTAATCTGATTTGCATTGAAAAAGATCCCTCTGGCTGCCATGTGGGGAACAGACTACAGAATGCAAGGGCAGAAGCAGAGGCCAGTCGTGAGTCTACTGCAACAGTCCAGGCAGGAGAGAGACAGTGGGTTAGACCAGGTAGAATCACTGCAGTGAGAAGTGGTCAGGCCTGGGATGTATCTGAAGGTAGAGGGGACTGGGTCTACTAATGGACTGGATGTAAGGTATGAGGTAAGTCAGGGATGAGTCCCAATTTGGGGGTGGGTGGTATTGGGGTGCAAGCAGCTGGAAGGATAGAGCTCTATCCAGCATTTGCAATGAGAACCACTTCAGGAGGAGCAGATTCAGGGTGGGGAAGCATCAGAGTTCTGCTTTACCAGGGGTGAGTTTGAGATGCCCATTGGACCTCCTCAGGAGCGTGCCGAGGAGGCAGCTGGATCCACAAGCTCTCAGAGGGAGAGGGTGGGTCTGGAAATGATGGATTTTGGAATCATCAGAGTGGTCCTTTTCGCAACCTCACAAGGGGGTTGTGGGGTTGCTTATGCCCATTTTAGAGATGAGAAAGCTGGAGCTCAGGGATGTTGAGGCACGGGACCACAGTCACAGAGCTGGCACATTGGGCAGTGGGGACTTGAAATGAAATGTGTCTGCCTCCTAGCCCCTGGTGCCCAGCCTAGTCCCTGGGCTCTGTGGCTCTTCACCGAATCCTCCCGGCAGCTCTGTGCAGGGGGGGAGGGGGAGGGCGCGTCATGAGCTCGGCATCACCTTCATTTTCGAGCTGGGGCCACCAAGACCCAGGCAGGCTGAAGGGACTTGCCCACAGCTGAGAAGCAGTCAAGTGTGCAGCCTTCCTGCAGGTGTGCCGAGTGAGCCCAGCAAAACTATCCCTCCACAGTGGTCCCAAGGCACAGAGCAGGCTAAAGCCTCTGAGAAGTCCTGCAGCCTGGACCTCACCTTATCTCTGTTTTCATGCAGTGCGCCAGGGAGCCTTGCTCCCAGGGAGCCCCTAGAGCTTTGGGAACATGAAGCAGTGGTTGAGAGCAAAACTTCAATGCCCTCATTTTTCCAAATGGGGGCATGAATACCCACCTGGCTGGGGTTATCATGTGGTTCTGTGCATTTTCAATGAGCACTGGGTGTGGAGCCCTCCAAAGAGTAGTCAGCAGATGTCTGTTAAAGGAAGGAACACATGAACAAACAGATGAATAAAAAACAAAGGAATTGGTGGGCGAAGGGATGGACAGACGCAGGAATGAGCAAAAGGCATGAAGGAACACAAGAGTAACCACACCCCAAAAGGATCAGGGTCTGAACTAGGAAATGCATTCATACACTCAGCAATGATCTGTTGAGAGCACCTACTGTGCGCAGGCGTTGGGGACACAGCAGGGAGGAAAACGAAGTCCCTGCCTTGGTGACATTCTAGTGAGAGGAGACAGAAAACAAGATAAATAGGTAAAATATAACTTATGCCAGATGGAGAAAACCAAGCAGGGATGGAGAGAGAGAAAAGGAAGTATGTGGAGGGGTGGCACATTTTTAAATAGGGTGGCAGTAAATGAGGGAATGGCTGAATGCATGAATTAAATTAGGGAGTGAGAAGACATGCACCATTGAGAAGCATAAGGGATGACTGCAGGCATGGGTGAAGGATCGAATGAAAGAATTATTGAATGAACGAGCCCAGGAAGATATGAATGCAAGAACTAAGGCGCGAATGAATGAATGAACAAATGAGCCAATGGAAGAGTGGTTGAGTGCAGAGATGAATTTGTGCTTGAATTAAAGCACCGATGAGGGGATGGATGAAGGAAGGAAGTTTGGAATGAGGCAAGAAGGCCGGCCTGCCCCCCCCCCCCCCCCCCCGCTCGCATGGCCAGGGCCCCGCTGTCCCTGCTCCCCGCACCCGGGTCCGAACAGCCCCCGCACCCCCTCGCCCCCGCCCCACTCCCCAGTCCCCACTCCCCCGGGGCCTGTGCGGCCACCGCTCCGGTGTGGGTGCTGACCCCGGAGGGGGGGTGCCCGCCCCCGCGCTCTGACCGCCCTCCCCTTGTGAGCGCAGGCACCATGCGGCCCGTGCGGCGCAACTTCTACGACCCGTCGTCGGCGCCGGGCAAGGGCATCGTGTGGGAGTGGGAGAACGACGGCGGCGCGTGGACGGCCTACGACATGGACATCTGCATCACCATCCAGAACGCCTACGAGAAGCAGCACCCGTGGCTCGACCTCTCGTCGCTCGGCTTCTGCTACCTCATCTACTTCAACAGCATGTCGCAGATGAACCGCCAGACGCGCCGCCGCCGCCGCCTGCGCCGCCGCCTGGACCTCGCCTACCCGCTCACCGTCGGCTCCATCCCCAAGTCGCAGTCGTGGCCCGTGGGCGCCAGCTCGGGCCAGCCCTGCTCGTGCCAGCAGTGCCTGCTGGTCAACAGCACGCGCGCCGCCTCCAACGCCATCCTGGCCTCGCAGCGCCGCAAGGCGCCCCCCGCGCCCCCGCAGCCGCCGCCGCCGCCGCCGGGAGGGCCGCCGGGCGCGCTCGCCGTGCGCCCCAGCGCTACCTTCGCGGGCGCCGCGCTCTGGGCCGCGCCCGCCGCCGGCCCCGCCGAGCCGGCGGCGGCCCCGCGGAGCCCGAGCGCCCCCGGCGGCGCGCCCACCCCGGGGCAGAACAACCTCAACCGGCCCGGGCCCCAGCGCGCCACCAGCGTGAGCGCACGCGCCTCCATCCCGCCGGGGTAAGACGGGCCCCCGGGCGCAGGGTGGCTGCCCTCCGGGGCTAGGAGCGCAGAATCGCAGTGATCCTAACAGTCACAAGCAGTATCTAGCATCTAGTAGGTGTTCACTTTGTGCCAAGCGTTAATTAAGCACCTTAACGCGCTCGGGGACGCTACGTACGAGGTAGGTACCAGCATCACCCCCAATTGACGCATGAGAACGCCCAAGCACGGGGGGGGTTCCTAACGACCCCCAGGATCCCATGATTCACAAGCCCGGGCGTCACAGCAGCAGTCAGGGTGCGAGCTCCGTGTGTATCCCTTGCTCAGCTATCTGCCGCACCTCACTTACTACTCCAGACGGTTCTATCATGCCCAGGTTGCAGGTGGGGAGGCCGAGGCTGGGAGCGGCATGTTACCTTCTGACAGTCACCCGGCTGGAGAGCAGGGCTCGGAATTCCGAGCCAGGCGGATTCCAGAGACTGTGTTGTCTTGGAAGTTTTAGAGGGTTCTTGCCTCTCCCCCAAGTCTCACGTCCATCTCGTGTGCAGGCTCCAACAAGCACCGGCCACTTGGTCGGAATATTTCCCCGATAGGCCACACCTGAAGTATCCCTGTTACTCTGGGCTGATACTGTGGTTTTCGGGGGTGGGGGGCGGCTCTGGAGACTCCCGGGTGGCCTGGGGTAGTGGAAGCAAGGGGTGGTGGACGAGGAGAAGTCAGGCCCGCAGGAGCCAGCCTCTCTGCTCTTGTTTAGCCAGAGCAGCCCTTTCAGGAATCTCCTATGAATTGGCTTTCCCAGCAGGATTTCACTGAGGAAATCCCCCCTGGTGAGGGCATCCCAGGCCCCAGGATAGGGACCCAGCGACAGTCTGTCAGCTGCCTGCCCTAGAGCCCTGACTCCATCAGTCTCAGCCTGACGGAGTGGGAATGAGAAGGAGGAGCAAAGACCTTGACCTTGAGACAGACCAGAAGGGAAATGACCGGGTGGGATGTGGGCTGTGGTGCCCAAGAGGAGGGGTGGGCGCCAAGAGCCAGCCGTGCTTCTCTCACCGTGGCATGATCCAGGGAAGACCAGCAAAGGTCAGATCTGGATAGAACCTTTGAGGTCTCCACCTCCCGGCTGGAGAAGGGACGGGACCCCAAAGCTGGCTGCCTCGTCTGCCTTCTGTCCCTTTGAAAGTGACTGCTTGGGTTCAGACGCCCTCTCAGCCACGTCTGAGTTATGCGGTCTGGGGCGCGCATCCTTCCCCTTCACTGAGCCGCAGCCTCATCACCTGGCAAATGGGAGCAGGATGTCCATTGTGTGGGGACGCTGTGGACCTGAACGATAGTTGGCACCCAGGGAGAGGGTTGGCGTGGGGGCAAGAGAGCCGCCGTGGGGGCTCGGAGCAGTGAATTACTCCTGATTCTTCGGGTGGCTTGCAGAAGCTGCCTCCTGCCTCCTCACCCTTCCCTGCGCCTTCCCTTCAGGTCGTTCCTGCGGGATAAGAGGGAGGGCCATGGGGACAAGCAGAGGTGCACCCCGTGTGGCCCAGTGCCAACAGAGAGGAGCCCCATGGAGGTCAAAAGTCCTCTCGGGGAGGCGTTGCAGGAGGGACTCACCCACTTGGGGTCATGGGACTGGAGTGTTCCTTGTAGGTAGCAGCCTGGCTCTGTTATGAGAAAGGAGGGCTGGCAGGCCCCCAAATGACAGCAGGCGTAGTCAGCAAGCTGAAGTGGGTGTGGCGGGGGCAGGACCAGGGAAGTTCAGGGACCTCGGCAGCAAAAATTGGAGAACCTTCTCTCTGGGGCTGTATTGTTGTAACCCACTAATGGGTTATGAAATCAAAAGGTTGTAACCAGATTTTTCTTGGAAGGAATAGAATGGAATGGAGTGGAATGCGATAATAGAATAGAATAGAATAGAATAGAATAGAATAGAATAGAATATGCAGGCATATATCCTACATAGTGATCGTAAGAATTGGTCCAGGAACGTTTTGCATCACTTTTACCATGTGTTCAGTGGATTTCCAGGTGAAGTGGATTTCTTAGTCACTGATGAACTTTGTGCAATCCAGTGTTTCAGAGCTGGCTGGGAATTACTCAGCTTTTATTGCTCAGTATTAATTCTCCAAGTATGTACCGTGGGTGTGTGTTCACAGAACTGAACAAGACACGTGGGGCCCAGAGTGATGGGGAGACAGACATAGAGCAAGTAAATGAGTAAATGAACACAATCGCTGGAGAGAGAGGGAAGCGCTTGGAGGTATGGGGACAGGGTGGTATGATCGAGAGGGAATGAGGCGGGGGTCAGGGAAGACCCCTCTGAGGAGGTAGCCAGATCTGGAAAAAGGCTATTCCAGATTGAGGGAATAGCATATGCAATTCAGCGGGGCTTGGAGAACATGGTACATTCAGGGAAGGACATCTCAGTTAGTGGCCCTGCAGGTGCAAAGGGGTGGGGGTAGGAATGTGGCCAGCAGGTTCTGGGGACCGTACAAGGATGGAGGTTTCCTGCTGGAACAGTAGGTGCTGAGAATTTTCCCAAATGGGGGTATAGAGCGAGATTGTGTGGAGCCTTAGGGGAGCCTGGGCTTTTTGCTACCAACAGTGGGGAGCTATAGAGTGTGCTTGAGCTCAAGAGGGCTATGGGGAGAAGAAGAATTTCTCCTTGGGAGTGCTGTGCTGATCATTGACCATGTCCTCCTGTGACCTGCTGGAACTCCGTTCTCCCAACCATGTGCCCCTACCCAGGGTGTACTGGGTGTGTACTCCCCCTGGGAGCCGTTTGTTACCCTCTCTGAGAACAGACATTGGCCTGGAAAGGGGGGGTGGAAACTGTCAAGGGCTTTCTCACCCCTCCCCAGCCATGCAGACCCTGCCCAGCCAGATAAGCCTGTGTCAGGCCCCCTCCCCTCCCCTCCAAGGAACCCCAGCTAAAAATACTCTATGTGGCTCAGAGTGGGGTGTGAGCCCAGGACCTGTGGGGTCTGCCTTGGAATGAGGGGGTGTGAGGAAGGCGGGTGGGGGTAGCCAACCCTGGTTCCTCCCGGCTGAAGCCTCTGTTGCCAGGGCACAGCCTATGAGGGGAGGCAGATGGGGGTCTCTGAGGAGCCAGGCAGCCAGCCCCCCAGGCTTCGCCCTGGTCCCCCACACCCCTGAGCCCTCATGGCCTTCCACATGGTCTCTCTGACTCTATGTTTATGTGTCCAGTTTCCTCTTTGCGAGGACAGCAGTCCTAGATTAGGGCCTGCCCTAAAGTCCTCAGACCTTATTCTAATCCCCTCTGCGAGGACCCGCTCTCCAAAGTGTCCGAGGCACTGGGGGTAAGGACTTCAACGTTGGAGTTCTAGGGGGACACAGCTCAGCTGATAACAGTATCTCTATGTATGGGTCTCTGTGTCTCTCTGTCCATCTGTCTGTCTGTGGTTCCCCTCGGCCACCTTTCCTTTTCCTTCCTGCCCCCTTCTCTGCACTTCCTTCTGTCCCACAGGACTGACACAGACTCCGAGTCCAGTCCTTTCCCGGCTGGGTGACCTTGGGCGCATGGCTTCGCCTCCCTAGCCTCAGTTTCCCTCTCTGCCAAATGGAGCTAAAACCACTGCCACTCATGTGTGGCGGCTCAGCAGGGCCCATGGCATGCAAAGCTTTAATATTGCCCGCCCCGTATGATCACTTCCCAGCCGCATCTCAGCCCCGGGTGGGGACTAGGACGGGAGAGGGGCCCCGACTTGCCCAAGGTCACACAGCCCGTGGGGCCACAGCGGGCCCCTGGCCTGGGTACTTTTCCACTGCCCCTGTGTTGGGGCAGGGAGCCAGCTGGCAGTCCGGGCCTGGGGGACACACAGGGGTGGGGGAAGATCCGCCCTGTCTCCTGGGAGGGCAGTGTCCAGCACTTTGGAACGGAGCTGCGGGGCAGACTCAGAGTTTCCACCCCACGTGGTGGAGGGGAGAGAGGGGACAGCTGCAGGCCTGTTTCCATTTACTGAGCACTTGCTTTGTCCCAGGCCTCATTTCACGGCCTCTACACACATTGCCTGTCTGAATGCCCACAGAAACCCCACACGGCGAGTCCGATTTTCCCCACTCTTCACATGAAAAAACAAGGCTCCGAAAGGCTGACACTTGCTCAAGGTCCCCCAGTTGGGTGTGTGATTCGAAATTCCCAGTCGGCCAGGGTACCGGGGTGCCCTACCCCCCTGCCTGTCCACCCCAGGTTTCCTGCCAGGGTCCCAGAGACCCGGCCTGATTGCACAGGGCGTCAGCCCTGGGGGGAGTGGCCGGGCCCCGCTTCGGCCCCCTGCCTCACTGTGTGACCCCAGTGGGACTCATTGCCCCCTCTGGTCCCCAGTTACTGCACCTGTGATGCGGGGCCGCCGTCCAGCATGAGGCCAGATGTCAAAGTGCCTGTGTTTCTGAGCCTGCACGCACCGTCTACATGGCCCGCCAGCAGCAGGAAGGGGTGCTTCTCCCGTTCATCCCTAGCAGGCTTGCACACCACGCCAACCTGAGCGGTGCCCTAGCGATGCCCCCTCTGTTTCTTCATGAGCCTCAGAACCTCTTCTGTTTGCTGGCTGCCAGTGGTTCCTTCTTTCGCCAATTACTTGTCTATTCCTTTTGCTTATCCTTCTCTTGGGCTGTTTATTTCTTCCTTATTGATTTGCACATGTTCCTTGTGTGTTAAGGGTCTTAACCCCTTATCTGTCGTCTTTTTATCTGTCACAGTTTGCTGCTTCTTTTGACCTTCTTTATGGCCTTATAGTCACCTGTTTTTAAATGAATTAGCCCATATATATCGAGCAACTACTGTGTGCCAGGCGTTGTTTGGGGCCCTGGGGATGCAACAAAGAAAAAGCAGATAATCCCTCCCCTCCCGGAACCACAGTCTAGTGAGAGACAAACAGTAAACGAAATAAATAAATTCTAGAATGTGGTCCAGAGAGGAGTAACTACTGCTGAAGGAACATAAAGAGTGGGCAACATATAAGGACTGATGAGAGGGATGTGATTTTAAATAAGGAGGTCACAAGAGGCCT